TAGTCTGCTTTTCTGAGCCGCTTGAGTGGCTCAGAGACACGTTGGTAGATAATGGAGTACTGCTTGCTCTTATAAGCGGACTTCACAGCCACTTACAAGGCAAGGCAAAACACAACTGGCCCTTCCCTTTCGCGACACTACTGACGGCACCTTCCCTCAAGAGGATGATCGCGACGGACAAGGTTCTTTAGTAGAAAAAAGTCCTGCCGAATAAAGTTTTCCATCACCAGCCATGCTCAAGGATGATGGAGAACACAGGTACAAGAAGAACGGCAGTCCTCAACGTGTGCTTGTCTTTAAGACAACTCCAAAACAGTTCAAAGACCGCAGAAGTATTATTTGAATTATGATTGCTTCGAATAGTCTCGCACGCATCATGTTGCAGAAACTTGGCAACTATCGAGGACAACAAAGTCGTGAAAAACAGACAAGTTTCCATTCAGGTTGCGGTTTGACCCTCTGACAGTTATCGGAATTACAAACGACCAGACAGCGTCTTTGCCGGCACGAATGCGGCGTATGACTCGGTCGATTACTCCATTATGTGGCATTGCTTGACTCAGAAAAGAATTCTTAAGATAATGTGTTCCCTTTCCCGCTCACTGCACGTCAGTACCAATGGGTGTGTAGAGGCCCAAGCAGAATTCCCCCAGAGTTCACTAGCAGAATGGGCATAATTTCTTTTCAACTGAGGTGGTTGATTGAAAGGCCTACACTCTTTGAGGATGAATTGCTTTCCGGTAAAGACCTTACTGATTAGGAGTACGAGGCTATCTTACTATTTGGTTCGAAACCTAGGTCCGCCCAACCAACGGCTTTCGGACGCTCCTTGAAGATTGTATGGGTACACTGATTTAGTTGTCCTAACCACATCATCGGAGCCGATTACCAAGGCGCAAAACTACTGACCGGGAGGTCCTTGGTTGGAATTTGACGATTGTTCCTCAATTACTCCTGTTTAGACAGCTTGGAACTCTCTCAACTCTCATGCCAGTCTCGACTTGCACGGAAACCATGAATGGACAAGGCAACACGGCTGATTAGATTTTTTAACTACTAAAGGTTTTTCGTCAAAGAACGTGTCGAGTAAAACAGGCGCCTGTAAATTCGCCTGCTTCACCAGTCGGATATATTCATACCGCCCTTGTCCCAACAACACACCTGCTTTCTGGTTTCAAGTGTTTCAATCGCATTAGGAAGGCCATCCCATGTGGATGTCTCATGCGAGGTGTCGAACGCAACATACTGAAATCAGAAATGTTCAGCAAGAGCCCCTTACCTTGTCAGAGGAAAGATGGATCACTAGTTTAGTAACGCAACGGACAGCAGAACTAACTGTTATTTTACCTCAGTTTAAGCCTTGTGGCTCGTGCAAATGACCTACCTAGGTGTAGACACTCGCCATGGCAAGCCATTCAGAAGACTTTTGCCAACAAGAGTTCGGGCTGGAAAACAGTGATTACTCAGGCGAGCGGTATTTAAAAAAATGAATCGTTTAGCTCTAACGGTGCCTAACCGCCATGCCACCCGAAGGAAGTACGAGGGCTGGGATACTGCCAAGTTGCCCAAGTCTAGACAGGGGAAGTCGAGAGGCAGATGTCGGGCTCGAACCACGGACCTTCCAATCAGTAAATTCGCGCCCTAACCACCGAAACATCCCGCCCCCGTTCTGGAAGACAACACAAGCTTTGCTGTCACTGTCCAAGATGAACCTGGACGGGCGGTATTTAGGTGTGTATCTTGAATGTCACGAATACCCTTGCCCAATGAGTTTCATTCGGTACCACTTTATTGCGAACACGCTGCTGCCAGCTAACACTTGTCATACTTGATCAACTGTTTGAATCCACCTAACATCGGATTGGAGGGGCCTATTGTTACAACCACGGAGGAAGCTCGCTCATATAATCGTCCTTCAACTCGAGTGAAATTCGTTTCTGACGCCATAAATGACACAAGTTCAAAAATCTGGCTCGTGTTTCGATAGTACGTGCGCTGACTTGTCTTGGTACAGTTACGGATTTGCATTGCTTAGACAGACAACTGGTCAGTAAACTCAAGTTCCTCTACCTGAAGTTTCAGAGGGATACACTTTGAAGGAACTAGGGATCTAGACTACACTGTGCAGGCCGATGGTTCTCACTCAACAAGACGATATCGTCCACCAGCCTTTCTCTAGACGCGATCGGATACCAAGAGCCCCGATTCCTCTAAGTGTGCACTCCACGATAATATACATAAGAAAACTGAAGAGAGGGCAAAATTCCCAAAACTTCGTTAGTTGTGGGAAAAATAATAGATCATTTATATGAATAGAGAATAGAAGTACATTTGCAAACTTCAGGGGCATTCGTCTCTCACCGAATATGTCAAAGAACTGACTCATTTAAGGAGTTAGGGGCTTCTTTGAAGTCGTGGAAAACCTCAACTGTTGGCCATGCTCAATCATTTAGCATAACATGAAGATATCAACAATGCAGCCCTATATCAGACAGAACTCTGCTTACTGCTCTAGGGATTGCGTCTCACGTGCTGGGGTTAGGCGTCATAGTCATACTGAAGCCATTATCGGCGTTATGCTGATACATCTGTGGTCGGAAAAATCGTCTTGTGAACCTCTTTTCTATAGCCCACTTTTTCTCGTTCCCGAATAGTGCAGACAAGGCAGGAAACAAAGATCCACCCCCGTCTTTAATTAACGTCTACCATGGCAGCCCGGTGGCGTTTAAAGTCAGGAACACCGGTACTTACCAAGTGAGGATCTAAACTTACAGACCGCTTTTAGAGCTGATCGGACTGGATAAAAGACACAGGAATACAGACCAACTATCAGCTGTGTTGCTGAAAGTATCCCGCGCAACGATATGAACGACGGCTTTTAACGTACACCGGGTTTCCAGTACTACCATTGAATAGGCCACCAACAGATGGTGTCCTGTTTTGTGGGTTAACTGAAACAGCTTCCGCTGAAGTAACCTCCGCCGATTTCACCGCCCCTCAATATCCACACACAAACCTCGTCTGAGTTGACGCCTAACGGACCGTCGAGCTGAGCTATGCTATAATCTCAAAGATATGATAATAATAGTTGTTCAGTGTCGATAACCTTTCGGTGCGCAGCTGCCACGACACCGGAAGGAAGTATGACGGAGGAGATATTAACAAGTTACCTAAGCCTAAACCGAAGCAACAGATATACTGGGGTTGGGTATGGACCATGAATTTCGAGGTCAGTAAGTTCATGCCTTAACCATGGACCTTGAGGTCAGTAAGTTCGTGGCTTAATCAATGAGCTATCTCGAACTCTCAAGGAATTATGCCGAAGGATAACGGCTACCATTCTCCAAATCACCACACACTGGTTCTCAGAAGTGCCGATACAAGGATTTTTGGAACAGGACGTCTGAGGCAAGTGCGAAGATCAACGTTACTCCGAGAAAAAGTCGAAAAGCCGTTGAGGACGCGTAGTGGTCACATACACGGGGTACCGACTACGTCCGGATAGGTTTTACCGTTTACGTATTTGGACAACCTAGCCCATTGGGAAAACACATGGTGCGTTGGAATCCATATTTAGAATTTGAGATTTAGACAAACAGAGCATATCCCACACGTAAGGAACATCTTACCGAACTTAAGGAGATTGATAATATGCAAAAGGTGGTTGTAACATAATACCGTAGCTAAGAGCATGTTCCATTGCGGGCAGGATTCAGACTGAAGTAGAGTGGAGCTCTTGCCGATGCACCGCTTGTCACACTCTATTAGATATGTCAACCTCGAGTCCGACATGAACGGTTTCCAGCATTCACTCTAAGGCCACTTATCCCGGGTGAATTTAAGAAACCTAAACAAACGACGACTGAGAGCCCATATACTTAATGGACGAGCGGTTCTGGTCGTTGGAAACAAGTTACCTCTCGACAGGATATATTCAGAAATGTGTTGCAACTGAGGAAGCTGACTATGAACCACTCAACAGAAAGTGAAATATCGAGAACCTTTCACTACCGGAAGTGAGCGACCCCATTTGATTTAGTCGCAGGGCTTGAGGACCGAATGGAGTGAGGTGTCTGGAGATCAACTCACTGTCAACGAGGAGGCTCAAAGTTGAGTGGAGCATCGTGCTCATTTGCTACTTCAGGTGAGCCCCATTACGAAGACCAACAAAATAAATTGCAGCTCAGGAGAAGCATCGAATGTGCCATCTCCTAGCACGGTGATCAACGAAGGACAAGTGGTCATCTGGAAAATACATCAATACCAGCGGATAGCGAAAATACTCAGTCCATCGGTTTTACTCAGAATATCAGTCCGAAACCGGCTGCTTTGTCATAAATCGAAGTCATGGACCCACCGGGAAGTGTCAACAACAAAGGTCTCTCGAAGTTTTTTTTAGATGTACGCGATCAGTTAACATGGCTACCACATTTGCTTTCACAGAACTGAGTGGAACCCAGAAGCAAAGGCATCCACGTATGTGGAATAAAGCGCCTGCAAAACTGGCTTTCTCATCAGTCCCGAGAATTCAATCACACGGAAACAAGAGTTTTTTCTTTCGCTAATTGTGAACATAACTGCAGTTAGTACACAAGTCGTCGCATAGATTCTGTCGCTGTTGAATAATTGTGTTGCTTCCAGCGGTCTGATAAGTCGACGCGAACGTAAGTTCAAAAATGTGCAGTACAGGCTCAGGAGTAGACCGATCAGCTCCTACACTAAAACAAAGGGACCGCGGGGGATAGAAAACCGTGTTTCGGCACGCACAGCGCGAAACCCATTGTCAAATAAACAAAACAAAAACAGCTCGGAAGCGTGAGAAAATACTATTTACATACTAATCTTTAGTTTTAAAGCCTTTAAAAGCGATACAAAGACGAGCATTAAGTAAAAAAATAAGACTTGGGTCATGCGGTGATCAGAACGGGCACTCTGTACAGATGTAGAGCTATCTGAGGTGGATATCACTGGTCTGAGGCTAGAGAACTGTCAGTGATAGTTCATGGAGTACTAATACAAGGTAGACTAGGAGGCTTGTCCGGTAAAAAAGGTTGCAATAAATCGACGGGGTCGTAGACAGAGTCGAAGAGTGAATCTCTGAGTTGTAGAAAGTCAGGCCCTGTTTCATTCACCAGTGTGTTTAGGTCTATAGGATCTTCTCCATAAGAGCCTAAACCGACATCGCTGGAAGACCAATCGACATTATCGAAGTCGCTGCATAATCGGAGGGTGAAACTGTCCAGGCGGCGGCGGACGCTACTGGGCTCATGGAGCTCAAACACTTGGGAAGTAGCCAATGGTTTTTCAAACGTTGATTCAACGATGGGGAGGTCATGGTCACTGGGAGATCGCTTAATGTTAGGCCCACTACCGGTTTCCTTTAATGCACAATTTGACGTAACGGCAGATTCCTCACGCACATCTGAGAGTGCCTCTGTAGCGGGATCAGAAACAAGATGTTCCATAACAGAAAGCTCGTGAAGTTCTGCATAGGCGTCAGAGCCGGATAGCATGGGAGTAGTTGAGTTGTTGGACGAAGAGCTGCTGGACGGTCTTACCGAAGTATCTGGCGATGGAGCTGGAGCTTCAAATACATTGTCCTGACCAACACAGTCATAATGCCTAGATCCGGTCTTCGTGTGGGTCTCACCAGACAATGATTCCGAACAGAACCTACACTGCGGAGTACAGGGTTGACGGGATAAACCAAGAAGTTTAGTAGCGAGCTCATTCCGCATTCCACATTGATAGTCATCAAACATACTGGAAAACAAAGTATCCAGTAGAAACCTTGCATAATCTTGCAAATTTCGAAGGTATTCCTTAATGCGAAAACGAACCGCAAGATGCACAACGGATAAGTTCACTTTTTTCGTAGCACGAGACGCTGAGTGACTGGAAGATGGATTGCTGGCGGTACGGGTCTGAATATACATATCTCTTATCTGGCTGAGTGGAGGTTTAGACAAAAGGGCATCAATAAGGGCAAAAGTGTTCGATTCTCGAGACCTGCGAAGTTGCTCGGCTTGTCCATGAGCGGACGATCTAGTGGTATTTGGACATTCACGTTGAGATTTGTTTTGGCCGCCGGGCTTCGGATATCGTGAGGGAAGTGATCCAGAGGGAAACTTAGGACACGCAAAGCGCGGCGCATTGGGGAAATGTGATGATTCGTCAGAGTCCGAGGAAACGTAATGCTTCACGGGGAGGCTGCACGCCGTATGGCAGAAAGAATTGTCCAGAATTGGGCTGATAAGGTGCGGCGAGGGAACACGGAGCACGGAATTTCGGTTTGGGCGCGAATAAGGGTGATCTGTGGGAAGAAATAGGTAGGAATAACGTGCTTACTGTATGTCCTTCGACTCAGTCGCTTTTTGCCGGGACCATGGTAATTTGAAGAGTACACGGGGGCTGTATTCGTGTTATAGCGTTCATCCAATGAAGCCGGCTTAGTGAACCGTTCGTTTGACCGGTGATAAGGATGCTCAAAATACTCGGGGCGAAGTACTAAGCAAATAAACGTAATCAAATTTGCAGTTACCTGACCGTGGATTTACTTGAATAACCTGGTTGGAAAACGTGGATAACATTTGGACGGAGCTTGGAGCAAGCAAAATGCTGATACGAACCGTGTCCCCGGAAAGAAACAGAACCAGCACGAGAAAGACGCGAAAAACCACGCCACTTTGATCCGCGCGGGCGGTGAACTGACTTCTGAAGGTCACTCTAATAGCATGATGTCTCGTTCGGTGTTCATGACTGGACGGTGCAGTGCAAAAGGTTGTAATTTTTCAGAAAAATCTAAGCAGCATCCAGATTCTTTAACTTCATTTCTAGGCTTTGTCTCTGTGCATATCGGGCGTCGTTTGCAAAGAAATGTGCAGGATGATTCAGGACGTCTTTGGCGGATTCATGGATTCACACATTGATACACAGGATCGAGGCTTTTGCCCAAGTTTCCCGGGTCGGTTTTGTTCTTGTCGGTGAGTGGCTGTCGTTCACTTGAAAGGCACAAGTGAAAAAGGGTGTAACACTGCTCTTTATGTTCTCATCGCGGGGCAGTACGCTTACCAGCGCGAGGATTTGCATTACTAAATGTCTAATAGTGCGTTAAACTGGGTTCTAGAAGGATCGTGGAGAACTTTCGGAGGAA